TGTTTAGTTACAATTAATTAATCATGCCACCAAAATTTGATCCAAGCGAAGTCAAAGAAGGTAATATATTCTTTCACTAAGAATTCTTGTAAAACACGTGACACAATGTCAAAATCATAAAYTACTTATATGTATTACTTTTGATATTGAAATTTTAAATTCTATTATTCCGATTTGTGAAATTAATTTCTAAATGATGTTAATACTATAATTATTCGTAGTACATGTGCACATAATATTRTTGTTACATTTTATTTAGAGGTTAATTTTCTRATGTATTTATGTTAATTTTATTCGTGTTCAATTACTATTTTATTCGTTTAAGTACTACTAATTTTTATTTATTTGCAGTGTACATGAGATGCGTAGGTGGAGAAGTCGGTGCTACTTCTTCTCTAGCTCCAAAAATTGGTCCATTGGGTTTGGTGAGTTTTTAAAATTAAATTTTGTTACGTGATGGATTTGTAGTGAATTATCGAAATTAATGTGAATACTTTTTCATTTCTTTTAGTCTCCTAAGAAAGTCGGTGATGATATTGCTAAGGCTACATCTGACTGGAAAGGTCTCAAAATCACTGTTAAACTAACCATCCAAAACAGAGTAGCAACAATATCTGTTGTCCCTTCTGCATCATCATTGGTGATCAAAGCTCTTAAAGAACCACCCCGTGATAGAAAGAAGGTCAAAAATGGTATGTCTTCTCTTATAGCAATGCTTAATAGCATGTGAATTCAATCGACTATTGTTCCTCATGTTAGTTTTATTGACTTATGTGATTTTAACAAACTGTCGTATATTAAAATAATGCGAGTTGCTTCACCCAGAACTACTGAGTGTCATTGTTTGGTTTTGCGGACTCATACAAAATAACCTTACTCAATATAAATTGTATTAATTCATATTATGATTTTCTGAATTATAATACATATTATTTTACAGTTAAACACAATGGAAATGTAACTTTGGATGAAATTTTTAACATTAGTAGAACAATGAGACCAAGATCGATGGCCAGAACTTTGGCTGGAACCGTAAAAGAAATTTTAGGATCAGCTCAGGTATTTAATGTTATAATGTACTTTAATTTTATTTTACTCTAATAAGAACATTTTAATTCATTTTTAGAGYGTTGGGTGCACTGTTGATGGAAAAAATCCTCATGATATAATTGAAGCAATTGATGATGGTGCTATAGCTGTTCCAGAAGAATAAAAGTAGTGAGTATTTTTACCACTGATGCTCAAATCCTAAAATATATATTGAGATTAGGATTTGAGTTCAGTGGTTTATTTGGTAGGGGTTAGCATCCCATCCACCTCCCTCAGCAGTGTCTAAAAATTTCTCATGTATAACTTAGTTGGTTAGTAATTACCTGTATTTGTTGATATTTAAAAATGTTTTTGTTTAATTAAGCTGTTATTTTGTAATGGTTATTGAATTTAAATCAATTATAAAAATTTGTCATTGAAATTTAACTAATTTTACCATTTAATGCTCATACCTTGATAACTGCTTTTGGGTGGCATAAGTGCTACTGAGGAGACAACCTCAAGAAAATAATCACATTATCTATTACAAATTTTAATATAATTTTTGAGTTATAAAAATTTATATTTAAATATTGTATTGTTTTGTTAAATTTCTAATTATTAGGGCTAAATATAATACTTAAATTTTTTTTTCAGATATTTGTGCTATTGGTCAAATAAAGTATTTTTATTCTTTCAACATTAAAATKTTGTCTTTTTTATATTACTTACTATAATATCCTTTMAACTATAATTTATCTCTTGTAGATAGTATTAATAGATATCTAGATGAGATAAAATGTGTTCAGTACATTCTGACATAATTCTCATTCTTAGAAAACAAAAATCCCTAACACTTTGTTGACCACGTTACTGTTGGATACTTGCCTTCTTAAAACTTAAAAGTCAATGTTCAATCAATACTATGATAGGCAAACGGGTTCATATTAATTTTATATTTTTCTTAATTTGTGTCTACTGAATAGAAAATTGTTTAAATATATTATTACTAATACTTTTAGTATTAATGTAAGATTATGAGCAATTCATGATTGAAATTTCATATACTCTGTTTAGCGAGAATTTACAACAGTTGACCTAAAATTGTTCTTCACATCCCCACCCTGCCATAAATTGACCCGTTTCAGTAGTGACCATGTGAAAATTGTGCGTCACCTCGCTGGACAGACTATACATATCTATAAATTATTTTATTTGATTGGATTACTGATGAGCTTAAATCCTAAATTTACATAGCAATTGAATAGAGTATGCCGGTGATGCTATCAGGATTTCTATTAGTATATTTAGAACTTAACTGTTACCAAATTCTGTCTTATTTTATTCCTTATGGAAATATTAAATCCTCAATGGTTAATATTAGTATTCATGATACACCCAAACTCCAATATGTGAACATTTTGTTACTCTCATTGGTGCTATTTTAATAAATATAAAAAAACAAGGTTGATTTTCTATTTTATGTTTTTGATACATACACAAAAACATTATTTAAAGGTGCTAATATTTTTATCACTATTTGCGCCTAACTTAACCTATGGTTATTTTGCTTTGTTACCATATGCTCTGAAATYCATTTTATAACAACTAGAAAGATATACTTTCACAAATAATTAGTTAGTCATTGCCATACTAAATTATTTGTTTATATGTAATAAAATCAATTTTGTGCATTTGAAGGAAAACATTGACTTCTGTCAAGGAGTATATGCCAGCAAAAT